AGATATTTAAAAAACGTATTTTAGTATAGAAAAATACAAAAAGTAGAAAATATTTAATAAGGCATACAAAAGTCACACATTTGTCTTTGGATTTTACATTAGAACATGATTCATGTACCCATTCACGACATTTATCTTAATAAACTTAATTTAACTAAATTAACTTTGCGCTAAACGGTTTCCTTTTTTTTTGACAGGTGTTTATTTACCTTCTAACTTATCTTTATATGGAGTAGTTGTGATAACCGGAGCCTCTTGATCACGAGCCTATTAAATTTTGTCCTAAACAACTTGTGGGGAACCTTGAATTTCTTCAATGCTATTGAGAGAAACTACCTTTGAAGATGGGTGAGATTCAAATTTGGACATTGATGTTTGTTTCTAAAATTGCATCTTGGGGTGAATGGTTACCATATTTTGGTGCCGGAATTTCTACGTCTGCGCCTACCTCTGAGGATGACTGGAGTGCTAATCCTCAGTTCGGAGTTGATGATGTTGATGATACTGATTGTAATTTCATGTTTTCTTTTGACTCTGATAAATTTTCATCTGCTTGTCTACTTTTCTTAACTGGCCATATTCCGCTTTTTCGGAGTCCATTGATGGCAGTGGCCATCACTGGTGCTCGAGGATATGCTTTTCAAAGTAACTTAGCTACTTGATATTAAGACACGGTAAGAATATGATTAGTTCTAGGTCATTTCTGATTTGCTTCGTGGTAGTACAGCTCCAGTGGCATAAAAATCGCGACATCTAGAACTTGTAGTCTGTGAGTTGTATGCCTTGGAAGTTGTAACATGATGATACCATTATTATGTGCCAGTTTAATCGCCTTGATATTTTTTAATGTCTGGTGTGGTCATCAAGAACTAACAAAACTTTGTTTTCTTTGGTAGGTTTTATAGCTTGAATGAATGTTTTCAACCACTTCACAAACAGCTTGGCATTAATGTATCCTGTATCGGATATTTCTATTCCACATTCGGGTTGAGCTCCAACACCCAAGTCAGGATTCATTCTTATGGGCTTATAAATTATCTTCGGGGACACAAATTGCCCTGCAGCACTCGCACAAACACACGTATTGACACTTCGATACTCCACTAGCGACGGACCCCACTTGATCTTCTGACATCTTTTTGCCACCGTGGAGAATAAGGATTCGTCTACGTTAGATATTTTTGTTGACTAGAAATTGTTGGCATCAATAATTTTTTCAAGAAGATCGAAGAAACTTTCTACATTTCCATCGGGAGAAATCCAGTCTGGTTGTCTTGTGTAACGCTTGAATGTCTGCGCTTAAAGCCGTAAAACCATTTTTTCCAACATGTTCCTTCTCTTTATTAAAATTGTTTTGAATCTTGTTTTTATCAGATTTTTCAAAAGCAGCTTTGCGTATTTCTGTTATTGTCACACCAACAAACACTTGTTCAAGATAAAGAATATGACAATTTCTACTCAAATTCGGGAGAGAAGACTGTAGCTTGTTCAAAACTTTTCCGATTGCCACTAGCCAGTTTATATTTATGTTCCAAATGCCTTATAAAAGTTGCTTTCGATGTGCTGTATATCTAGCAAATTTCGTTTATTCTATAATTATTATTGCCTTTATAGGCTTCTAAAGTTTTAGAAATATCAGCCCAACTCCACTAGTCATACTTTTTTTTCAATAGGAAGCATACTGCAAAAAAAGGAGAGACGAAGTAGAGTGGGTACGTCAAATTTTACCACTAACATTTTCTGTGTAGAAATTGGTTTGATTTAATTTAACAGTGCCAAACGTTACATATAAAACTAACAACGAACAACATAATATTCAGTAATCGCCTAATTTGGACCAGTTTATTTTGGGCAATCATGACTTTTAAACATGTTTCTGTTTTTTCCCCCTTGTCGTTTATTCGATTAATTGGTTAACGATTGGTTAACGAGACCCCTAAATGTTTAGCAAGACTTACCAGTTTAACATATTAGATTTCCCCACACAAATTCACTAAACTGACTATAGCTTCCAGAAAAAAGGACTGAAGAATTCTATTTTATTTTGAACATTGGAAAGTCTGTTTGTTTGCTGTGTATTGAATCCTAGTATCCTAAGCTGCATCCACTGCCAGGACAAATAAAACAATCCAGAAGCTTACCGCAAATTTGGAAAAATAGCTTCGAAAGTATCATAAGCAAACTAGCTTTCACAAACATGATAATGTGAAAGCAAGTTTTCTAGAAGGCGAATTTATCAAGGGGTTTATGTAGTCTTTTGTGTCCTGAAAATAAATTTAGAAAAATTAGTTTGTCAAGACGAACTGTTGTTCGATGCATAAAAATGATGACTAATGAATGAATCATTTTCCATAGTATTTGACGAGAGCACCGAATTGCCAGAAACAGCTCGATCGACTATAATTATTTCTAGTGTTGAAAGAGGGTTCACTGTTGCACAGGAATTGCTTGCTTTACAGCCGCTAAAAGGATCGGTTTACGTAAAGGTTCCATGGAAATTTTCAATAAAAAAGCAACCGAATTAAATATGGAAAAAGATGATTTCATTGTCCACCAACAGAACTTGTGTTCTAAGTCCATTCGACTCCAGAATATTGTAGTAAAAACCATCAATTTTATTCGATTTCAGGGGCTTAACCATCGTCAGTTTAAGACATTTTTTTATGATATATCAGCCGAATATGACGACGTAACATATTATTATGAAGTGAGATGGCTAGGCTAAGGTAAAATGGTGAAAAGCTTACACAAATAAGATAAACCACTATCTGAATTGAGGGACGTTACAGGCTATTCGAATGATACCATTTCAAGTTACGTTTATCAGAGTCCGTGATATCTTTTTTCGAATCGTATTTCACCGATCGCCGTCAAAGAGTGAGCGTAGATGGTATTACCCCTTTTTTAACCCAGCGTCACGGTGTCCCACAAGGATCGGTTTTGTTTCTGCACTTTTTTCTCATTTATATAGATGATTTTGCACATTATATTAAGTCCGTCAAGTGTATTTGCAGACGACGCCACAATTATCTCTTGAAGTTCATCTCTAGACGAACTGAAAAGTAGAAGTAATGTTTCTGCGAAAGCTTAAGCAATTTCTTAATACTCAAGTTATGAGAAGTGTGTATTTCGCTTTATTTCACTCTAAAATGCAATATGGGGTCACCATATGGGATGCATCTAGTTATACAGTCAGAGTGTTTCGTCTTCAAAAAAAAAAAACTCTCCCTATTTATCTTGGTTTTGACTATAAAAAAACCCGCAGAACACATTTTCGGAGTATTCATATTATGACTTTATCATCTACTTTCATATACAACAGCCTAATCCAGAGTCACTCTAATAAATCAGGTTTTTCTGTTCAGTCTGATACTCATTCCTACGCAACGCGTACTGCACACCAGTTAACGATTAACCGATACCGTCTTAATAAATCAATTAGAAATTCTCGAAACCTGAACTTTTATAATAAATTACCTTGGTAACAATCCTGTTAAGGGGGCTGTCAAGTATCTACTGGCAATAAACTGTTTTTACAGTATTGATGACTAGCTAAATTTCAAATTTCAAATTTGTGAAACCTGTCTACTTTTATAAATTTGTTTCGTGACTTTAAGTGTTTTATACTTTAATTCATACATTGTTTTATTATCTATATATGTATCTGTTTATTTTGTTTTGACTTGCTACACATACATTTTGGTTAAATAAATAAATAAACAATGCTTATGCTCAATATGCTGAAGAAGTCGAGTCACTGTCGGAACAATTTTCGAACAGATTTAGAGATTTCAAAATAATGGAAGAATGTTTCAATTTATTTGCTACTCCAACCAAAAGTAATGTATAAAATTCTCTAATACACTTGCAAATCTAAATTTGTGCAATTTTTACAAAAAGTACCTCCAAAAAGGCCGTTTTCCGGAGCTTAGAACATTGATTTGTGCGTTCGCCGGTACTTTAAATGCAAACAGTTCTTTTCAATGATGAAAATTATTAAATCAAAATATCGTAATGTGTACTTCGCATCAGTGGAATCAATTCAAACATCGATGGATCAGTTTCCCAACTTCAAGCTCCAGTATCTCATTGATATCGGTGTCGCCATTTAAATTTCGCAATTTTGTAATAATTCCAAATTTTTTGATTTAATTATACTGTATTATCTTTTTTTTTTTTGTTATTTTAATAGATAACTAAATAAATAATAAATTATTTGAATTGAAGTTTGGCCCACAACAAAGGCTGCCCATACCTGCTCTAGGCGTAATTCTTTTGCATCTATCTCAGTATAAAGTATTCGTCCTCCAACGAAAAGAAATATCGAAATTAACGACGAAACGTCTCCAGGTTCAAGAATTTCTTACCCTCCAAGCCGACGCGGGACCAAAAAGCAAAAATCGCCCAAAAAGGCAAAAAATGAAAATCTCGTTTTTACATTAGCCGGTTTCTCGGGCTGTAAAACTGACCCGGGCCAATCGTTTTTGGCCGAAAATGTTTTTCATCTCTGTCGACGGGGTGATGACCCGTGCACCAGCCCGTCTGCGCACTTACATTCGTGGGTCCTACACCTAAAAATGTTGTACTGGTCAGTGCACTCGGCTCGATATTATCGATGAGATAATTTTTTTTTATCGGAAAAAAAATCCTGGCGGAGCGCACTCTGGTAGACAGGGGGGACACGCGCGGGGGGCCCCCGCTGCGGGGGGGTTAGGAAATTGAGGTTATGTACGGTTTCTGTTGCTTATATCGGCACTATACATCTACTTGCGCTTCCTCTTGATAATAATAATAGCAATTAATTTGGATGTGAAAACATCGAAATGGACGTTGAACGAAAACCACCCTAGCTGACAAACGAAAGTGATTTCGAAAAAGCGCCGATTGATTTTTTGGCGGAAAAATATCACGTTTGAGAGTCTCTGGATCCGAAAAAATCTCGTATATAAGCCCGGCCCGGTCGAAAAACTTTCGGCAGTTGTTGCGGTGGCACTGCGATCGTTTTTTCAAACTATGGAGCCGAATTTTTACTCGAAGCACAGCGACGTGCAAAAAGTAGACAACGCGTACGTAATTAAAAAGTATTCGCGCTGGATCAAATGGGAAACGAGGGGTGCCAGGATTCTGGACGTGGGCTGCGGGGACGGTTTCACCACCACCGAGCTGTTGTTGCCCCGCATACCTCGGAATTTCGAAAAACTCGTTGGCAGCGATTTGTCGCAGAAAATGGTAGATTTCGCCAATGCAACGCGACAAAAGGAAAATATCACTTTTCTGCAGCAGGATATAGGCGCCGATAGTTGTCAGCGGGGGTTGGTCGCGCAGTTTGACCACGTTTTTTCGTTTTACTGCCTCCATTGGGTTCCGCATCAAAAGTAAGTACAACTAATCCAAGGAAAAGCATCTAGTTTAATGATTTCGGGCTTATAGCGTAAAATCTAGGCGCAGGAAATAAAAAGACCTTAGTACAATCATTTTTGCCTCAACTTTTAATCCTTTCAGTTTTTTATTATTATATTATTGGTTCCAGCAGGGGCCCAGAAAAGGATTATTTTTTTGAAACAATAATACTTTTATTGACCAAGGATGAACTTTGAGAGTCGGCGATTTTTCACTTAAAAAAACAGTAATAATAAAATTTCAAAAGCCGTATTATTAGTCGTAATGAAAATAGTTTGATAACGCAAATTCTATAGACCTAACACAATTCATCAAAAATTAATTAAAAACTTTTGATTTAAGATCAAACATCCTCAGCCGTTAAAAATTGGTAGTAAATTGTGAAATTGTGATTATATTACTAAGACAAAGACCGCTAATTAGGAAAATACATAAAAATATCATTACAAAAAGTTTTTCTCCTAATATTATAGAAGAGGTCATAGTTTTGAAGCTGTTTAATGAGTTTTTTGTCCTAACCTTTCATAGAATCCGGTTTTAAAATAATGAATAATCAATAATAATTTATTTAATAAGAATTTAGAAAAAAAAATTCCTAAAAATAGAATATTAATTGGTTATCGGTATGTATAGCAAAATAATTGATTTTTTTCCCACATACAAGTTTTAACGTTAACATTTTGGCCAAAAAAATAATTTTATGGTCCTAAGTTAGAATGCCTTAACAAAAAACATTTTTTTTAAATATTAGGCAAAATTACTTTTACTTAACTTTTAAATTATTATTATATATTACTTTTCGAATTTGCTTGTAATATTTTTGCTTGGCTTTTTCCAGAAACGCGTTCGCGAACATTCACGAGATGTTGCGACCTGGCGGCGACGTATTGTTGAGTTTCCTGGGAAATCATCCGCTGTACGACATTTACGAAAACTTGTCGAAGAAAATTCAATGGGCGCCCTATTTTCTTAAAGACTTCGTCTCGCCCTACCACCACTCCAAGCGCCCCGAAGAAGACGTAAATATTTTTATGAGACAATCGGGATTTATCGGTTGTAACTGCGTAGTGGAAACTAGGCGTTTCGTTTTTGACACTTGGGATCAAGTTACAAGTATGTAGAAAGTTCTAACCCAAAATACAGACATAACTACAACTTTTGATTTTCTCGCGCGCCCTGTATAATATACAACAAATGTAAATGCAGAAGTTTACATTGCACCGATTAAACCAATTAGTTCTATTTGTCGTGTTAATAATTTACTATTGCAATAAACATTTATAACAAATAAAACTGTAAATACAAAAATTGTGGGTCATGATGCAATCCACAAAGGTCGTTCGAACAAAATCGCGCTGTTTATCGCGATATTACAGTTACCGCTGAAAAAGACGACTTTCAGATATTTTCAGACTGACGCAATATTTGGAACCCAAAATTTCAATGTTTTAGCTATTTAAAAATTTAAACCAATATTCTCGAATTCGTATATTTCTTTGGTGAAAATAATAAAAACAGAAGCACTATTTATTGTTTAATTTTGTTTTGTTTTATTTATTTGTTTAAAAAATTAAAATGTCAAATAACGTGTAAGTGGTAGTTGAACTGAGGTGGCTTTTACTTGATGAAAATCCATTTATCAAAATAAATAAGAACTAAAAGTCCAGATTTTCACAAAATTATATATTTTGACATGACAATTGTTTCGACAAAAGACACGGTGTTGTCGAAACAATTGCCATGTCAAAATATATAATTTAGTGAAAATCTGAACTTTTAGTTCTTATTTATTTTGTAAGTGGTAAATGAGTTTAAAACATTATAATATTCTTAATGAATTAACTAATAGTTAAATTATTATATTGTCCAGTGTGGCATAAAAAGGTTAGTTGTATTTCAATAAAATATAACCAAAACAGTATAAAAAGTAACAAAAAATTTCTGGCATAAATGGCGGCAATTTAAGATGTAACCTGCGTCAGATCATCTTCAACGATATCTCAAAAACTATTTCAGTTACAAAAAAACTAACACCGACATTTTACTTACTTACGGCACATTTGGCTCAATATAATTGTTTTCAGTTTAACCTAGAAATGATTTTTAATGCGTTCTTTACGGATGACATGGCATATGAAACGAATATTAGGCATACAAAAATTATAGCCTAACAAATCAGAAAAAAATCATACGAAATCAACAGCTATATTTTATAGTCTTAGGTTGTTGGTAAACCTCCCAATAATATAAGATATAATTTAAGACCGCATCTTGCGGGATAGATGATAAAGTATTTAGAAATGTTTATATTGTGAAATATTATTTTATGTAAAAAATGTTTCTTCTCACCGTGAAATGATAATTACAAAGACATTAATATGCTTAAAAATGCACATACATGAAAATTAAAAATTATGCGAATTGCAAAAAAATATACCTAGAAATAGACATTTTACTTAACATTTAACGTTATAGGAATTGTTTGTTAGTTAACTAAAAAAATATATTAAACCGCATTTAGTGTTGGAGACTGAATGGCAATACAAATGTCATGAATTTAGAATATTTAGATTTAATAATTTTTGGGCGCTAATTTCAAAGATTTACTCACAGTGTGACGCTCATTAACAGCCACATCTATTTTTGGAAAAATCACACGAAAAGTTTTTTCTTCTAAATCGCCTCGCAAAATGTAAACATGAATGTTACAATCAGAATTTGAATTCAAATAACTGCCGAGCACCCGCCATTTAGTCAATAAGCGTTCGCTATTTGCAGAAACCTTAGCTGCGATTGATCCCACAATTAAGCAATTGGGATCAGAGGACCAATCAAAATATATCGCCGACTTCATCGAAGAAGCCAGAAAGGTCTTGTGGGATAAGTTGGTGACTTCCAATAACAACAACGAGGAGAAAATTCCCATCGATTACAAATTGATCGTTGTTTACGGCCGAAAATCGAGCAAGGTGGAGCTGTGACATTTTCTTGTTTTGTTTAAGTAGAGTATACGGGGTAGCTACTTTTAAAGTATCCATTGGAAACTGGAAAAGAAAACTAAGATTCTCAAAGCTAGAAAACTACTTTTTAAATTTATTTATTATTTCTATCAAAAAGTCGGTTCTCAAACGGTTAATATAGAATTTCTTGCAGCTTTTTAGGCATAGTATGAATGCTTAAGAAAAAGTCTTTTTAATTGACAATATTATAAGTAACAATTTTAAAAATTATGCAATTTTTTTTCCTATATCACCCAGTGGACACTTTCAAACCACCCGGTATAACTCGCGATTTTAAGAAATTTATTTGTTGTGATTATGTTATTTAATTAGTAGTATACCTTAGGTAAATTAAACTATTAGTTCATTGCATTATTTTAAACAATCGCCTGCAGGGAAACACGCTTTTATAAAGAAGATAATAAGATAGATGGTAGAGAATCTATTTTGTACAGATATATTTAAGTAAAATAAATAACTATATATTTACCTATTTGCTATGTGCTCTGGTGAAGATTAAAATGGAGCGTGCACAGACAAAAATTACTCGCCTTTTCATGTGAAATTGTAAGGTGAGTTTTTGTTGAGTAGTATCATATTGACCATTGTACTTAGGAAATGTTTTGATATGATCATTGGATACTGTGTGTCGTGTGACCATTGTTCTTAGGAAATGTTTTGATATGATCATTGGATACTGTGTGTCGCAATTAACTAACTGTGAAAAATAAACCTTTCGCAACAGTGTATAAAACATTTTTTCTAGAGGTAATAGAAGAACTACCAAATATAAATAATATTTTTTATTGCTTGGGATAAAATGTAATAAAACGAATACATTTTATTTCATATTGACTATATGTTGCCTTTAAAATTGTCAATAAAATGTGTTGGTTGACATTGCAAATAATTGAAAAGAGGCTTTATTTTAGTAAATTATTGTTATTGGTAAATAGTTTTGTAACTGAAGTTAACAAAACTACCGCAAGAGGCGCGCACCGGGTTTTAATCATAAATTGGTAGTTACTTATTTCATTAGTTCTGACTTCCACCTAAAACTAAGCAAAATTTCGTATTACGTTTTCTAAATAATCTAAATAAACCATGAATATATATGATTTTCTACGAAATAAATGATAGCGTGAGCTATATTGCCTATACCAAATGCGGTTGCGAAAATATTGCGTTATTTGTATTAAATCATGAATATTTTTTTGAAAAACTAGATCCAGAATTCTGTTGGTTGTGTTTGTAATGAAATTTTCCTATGCGATTTAAAACGCTGACAGTCATATTATATCTACTCATCAGAAAAGTTTTGATCATTAGAGTTCAAAAAACCTGCACTGTTTCACATTAAAGTACCGCGTAATTAATACTTTGCTATTATGAATGTGTTTTAAAGAGTTAAAAAAGTCAAACAAATTTTCGTTGCCTAGAAGTTTTCTGGTGGTTGCATGTATAATAAAAAGACGAAAATTAAAGATTTATAATTGGGTTAAACAAAATATCCAACTAGGATAACAATAGACAGTGTTAAACGCATACATTTAGGAGAAGAAAAACTACTGCCATTTTTTAGGTAACATATTTCTATTTAGCGGAAGTTTTCCTTTTACAAAATACATTTCCTTCTAGTAGATCTTCCAGAATTTCTGATTACTTCCAAAAGCATTTTAGTGTTTTAGTGGTATTCTATTACACTTCTAATATAGTCACAAAGAATATAATACTTGACAGTCTCATTAAACTACAGTACAGTAAAGGTGTTACAATATTTAAGATATAAATTATGTCATCACAAAAACAATATCACATGTTATTCATACAAATAAATTTAACTATTTTTTTCTGACTTTGTGGGTTCCAAGTAGACCTCAGCTTGACTAGGGTCATCTTCAGTTAGTAAGACTTCTGTTGCTTTCCTGAAAATATCTATAATGGATATCAAACTCTGGACATCAGATTCGCTCTACCTTAAGTGATTCTCTGGTAAATGCAGTGCCCAGAAATACAAAACTGATGCCAGTACCAGAGACCATGTCCTCAAAGGTCCCAGGAAAAATGCCAGAGCACCATACGCCAACCAAAATAAATACGCCATTATAACTTGTGTGGTAAAAACCACGGAAAATGGGAGGTGTAACCAAACACTTTCCTTCCATTTTAGTTTTTTACCAGACTTGAGGGATAACTGTTGAAACCTAGAAGTGAATATTTGAATTCAGCAAAATCAGACCTTTTAAAATAATTGAAAACCCATAAACTGAAATTGGATTAATGTGAAATGAACAAATTGGAAAAAAAATTATTAGAAATATGTACCTGTAATAGATCAAATTCACCATGATTAGTGTGAATGGAAGTTGGAAGGTTACAAGCTACAAAAAGTATGTATGTATATTTTCTATTTTCATTTCATTTTCAAGTAGTACCTGAATAAAACCATACATATATGTGAAAGATCCCGGCAAAAATGCACCATTGACAAAAATACCCCACGCGAATATGACCCCAATATGGTCTTCAACAATATAGCCGACGGACCAAGGACCAATCATCAAATATATAGGGTACAAAATAACCGGCCAAAATATTCTGTCAACGGTTGTCAGTACCCACAGTTTTTTCAACCATTTATTAAGACAATTATCTCTGGCCTTTAACCTCTTTTCGTTTCCTGATAAAATAAAGGAACAAGTGTGATGCTGCTATTATTAAGAAACACTTACCCAAGATGGAGTTGTGGAAGTACTTCAACAAAAATAAGGGAAGTGAGTAAATAATTACAGTGCTAATAAAAAATCCTTGGAACTAAAACCAAAAAAAAAAGTATTTCTTTGATCATATAACAGTTCAAACTCACAATATCACTTGCATTTGACATAAGGGCTATTCTAGGAAGGACCCCGAAAGACAGCCTTGTGCCATCTAGGGAGAATGGTTGAGATTTGTAAAGCTCCCTGCCATCTATATCTTTCACGAAGAGCTAGAAAAAAACAAATTCAATGAAATGAAACTAAATTTCCAAACAATTACCTCAATCTGGTGAAGACCAGAAGAATACCTTTGAGGATCCCAACTGACCACATACAAAGGACCCTTGATGTGCTTGCAATCTGTCCACGGCTCATGGTCCACCCTAACCCTAACAGTTCTAATTCTTGCTAAACTAAACGCTAAAACTCTTAAAGAGGGTGTCAATATAGCAGTCAACCCAAGCATGCATACCAACATTACCTTATATGAGTGGATTGCTGAATATTTTCCAGGTTTTCCTTTAGGGGATTGAGAAAGAGGGCGTGTTTTGGGTTAGTAACTACTCCCACCGGCCAACTGCGGTGGGGTATGTCAACAAAGGAGAACATCCCGTGATCTATAGTTAGTAATCTATACCTGTTATTTAGGAGAAATTAGATAAGTATTTCTTAATACATAATTTTAATTTATAGATACAAGAACTTTGTACAAATTTTGGTCAATTTTTATCTCAAATATATTTCCCATATATAGTTACAGTTAAATTTATTTGGAAGTACTTACATTCGATTATCTTTCCAATCTCCAAGTTCTAGTTCTAAAAATCCTCCTTTCTGCATAGAATACATAGAAGGTATAAGACCTCCCAAGGTATGAAGATGTCCGCAGACATAGACCATACCATTCTTATCTTTTTTAATAAGATCTCGTATGTTCTCAGATCCAGATGACAGAATACATGATGTAGGAAAATGTCCAAACCAGATTGTGTAATTACTACCTGATTCACCTGCTTTTTTAATAAGTTTATTTATTTGCTGGACTTCAGCTTCATCTATGACTCCCACAAAATTAAAGGGCCGTCTTGGACCTACAAAGTTTTTCATACATATATAAAATTAAAAAATATTATTTGGCTGCATATTTACCAGGTTCAAGACAAGCATCAACTCCAATGAAAGAATACAAAATTTTGCCTTTCCTTAACTGAATCATATAGGATCTCGGATGTTCTTTTCCTTGCACTGAATAGTTTGAGAAATAGTTTTGTTTTGATTTTATATCGGCAACATTAAAATTGTCTTAAATATATTGAGTTAATTATATTTTAATTCAAACTAATTCATTCAGATTTACCATGATTGCCCCTAATGTCAAGCCACCGTGTTTTGTTTGTAATATCATATTCCTTTAATATATCTCGATAGTGTCTCCATTCGGGCTCATGTTGTTGAGATCCGATGGCATCTTTAGTTTTGGCATCTGTTAAATCACCCGACGCAAGTACTAGACTGGGCCTAATTCTGTCTATGGTATAATGACAAAATTCCTTAAACTCGGTAATTCTTGAAGGGTCTTGAAATATGCTCACGTGAATGTCCGTTATCTGTGAATTTACCACTAATTTCTGTCTAACAGTTCAAAAAGCAATGACTTACCTGCAAAATCCATATCAGATTATCGAACTTATCTCCGATCTTAAAGAAACGCTCTTTTGTGTGATCTTTGGGATGTACCAGTGTTGTGCTTATTAAATTAATAATGTTCGCAAAAAATATTGACAATAAGATCACGGAAACGAAAGCCCCCAGAGCTGATTTTGGGACCTTCATGATTATTTGAATATTTAGTGTGGTAGAGACGGGTTTCATTAATTTTTCTAAAACCTTATCATTGTTTGTTATCAAATAACTAATTTCAATTATTAATTTAAAATTTCATATTCTGATAACCAAAATTTTGCCTGGACATTTTCATAGATTATTACAGATAACCTAAAAAAACGATTTTAAGACCAGTAATCTCAAAAATGAAGTCGGTAAGCTTAATAAATATTCTCACTTTGTTTAACATCTAATAATTTTTATACTTTGCAGCGTTCAAAATAAATAGGACAATGTGAATTTGTATAATTTAGCCCGTTTCTGAGGAAAGAAGATTCATTTGACATCAAATGACGTTTATGTCGGAATTCTAACCTATTAGCCGCTTTTGTTTACGTGTAGTTTTCCTGTGCCGCTTTGTAGGTAGACGTCAAATGCATTCAATAATTTGAATAAAAAGTAAGAATCGGTGCTCTTAATTTGGCGGGTATGCTTTAAAATAGTTAAGAAAGCAAACTTATTTTTGTTTTAGGTAGTAAAACACAGATTGTTTTTAACCTGCTTTCTGCTTTTAATTATTAGAATTTTTTTCAGATATCTGTGATAAATGCCCTTAACCAGCAGAAATGTCGTTTGTAATATATCTAAGTAGGAGAGCCAGGACTATCAGAATATTTGCAGGCTTGGTTGTAGTAATCTTTATAATGTATTTGTTAGCCACATATGATAAAGGCAAGGAAATTAGAAGATTAAGCCATTTTGCTCAACATATTGAGGCGAGCCCCAAACTGGTGACTGGTTTGGGAAATTTCGAGCCCAAAGAGGTTGACAATAAAGACGGACCTGGTGAGAAAGGTCAACCGCATCACCTTCGGCAAGATCAGCAAAATGATGCAGATCAATCTGAATCTGAATATGGAATGAATGTAGCATGTTCTGATGAGATTTCCTTGGACCGAACAATTTTGGATACTCGATTAGAACAGTGTAAACACTGGGATTATCCATCAGATTTGCCATTAACCTCTGTAATTATTGTATTTCATAATGAAGGTTGGTCTGTATTACTGAGGACTGTACATTCAGTGTTAAACAGAACACCCAGTCGTTTATTAAAAGAGATTTTATTGGTTGATGACTTTAGTGATAAGGAAAATTTGAAATATGATTTACAAAAATACATTGAGCAATTTGAAGGTAAAGTGAGGCTAATAAGAAATATTCAGAGAGAAGGGTTAATCAGAACCCGCTCTAGGGGGGCAGTTGAAGCAAAAGGCGAAGTTATAGTATACTTGGGTAAGATATTCCTTATGTCACTGAGCTAAATAATTTGCAATTTTAATTTAAAAGTTCAATATTTGGCTTCCGATTTTTTAGACGCCCATTGTGAAGTGAATACAAATTGGCTGCCACCATTATTGGCGCCAATTTATCGTGACAGAACTGTTATGACAGTGCCCATTATTGATGGTATTGATCACAAAACATTTGAATACAGACCTGTTTATGGGGATGACAGACATTTTCGAGGCATATTTGAATGGGGAATGTTGTATAAAGAAAACGAAGTACCAGAGAGAGAGCTCAAAAAGAGAAAACACAATAGTGAACCTTATAAAAGCCCCACCCACGCAGGTGGATTGTTTGCTATTGATCGCAAATACTTTTTGGAGATAGGGTCTTACGACCCTGGCCTGTTGGTTTGGGGAGGTGAAAATTTCGAGCTTAGTTTTAAAATATGGCAGTGTGGAGGCAGCATTGAGTGGGTACCATGTTCCAGAGTGGGTAAGTGCAGCACTTTCTCCTTAGAAAACTTATAAGATTTGCATTTTTACATAGGTCATGTGTACCGCAGCTTCATGCCTTACAATTTTGGTAAACTGGCTCAAAAAAAGAAAGGTCCATTAATAACCATAAACTATAAGCGGGTTATCGAGACCTGGTTTGATGAGAAATATAAAGAGTATTTTTATACAAGAGAGCCAATGGCGAGATATTTGGATATGGGCGATGTGACAGAGCAACTGGCTTTGAAAGAAAGACTGAAATGCAAAAGCTTTCAATGGTACATGGACGAGGTGGCTTATGATATTTTGGATAAATATCCTGAGCTACCCCCTAATCTTCATGTTGGCGAATTGCGGTAAGGCACTAAAAATTATTAATTCTAATGTTTTGTGAACATGTAATAAGAATGTCATGACGTAATTGACAGTTTATTTTCCCGCTTCTTGAGAGATACTGCGTTAGAGTCTCTCTCTCTCTCTCTCTCTGTCTCTCTCTCTTTCTTTCTTTCTTTCAATATTGCCTTTTACCTGAAAATTAAAAGTAATGTTGTCATCACATAAAACTCTTTTATTGAGACACCAGGTCACACCATTGCAAGCTCATATCAATGAAATTACTGTACAAACTTTTTGGTAGAATTTTATTTATTAAAACTAATTCATCTTCTCACCATTTGGTAAGCCTCACAATTTCTACAATTTTCCAATTTGATGGTCGGCTAGTAAGTTATTTTTACAATACATTTCAATTTATATTATCGAATGCAAGCGTTCAGTAAGTGAAGTGAATACATAAAAATTAATATTATGTCGGTGTATAACGTCAGTGCGCCAAATATATATTCTTCCGGAGATATTTCCACCCTTCTGCCACCCATAATACACTGGGTATCGTACAATAAAAATATGGTAAACATGACTGTGACTAATGCCGAATATACTAACCAAATTATGGTCGAATGGGTAATAATAATGACTATTATCGTCACTATGCCAAAAATCGTAAGAACTAAAGCGGCCAGGGCCAGTATGAAAGACCATTTGGTTATGTCAAACTGCGTTTGAAAAGCCAAAAGGGTGACAAGAACACATATAAGTCCCGTACTAGCCAAAGAGGTCATTACAATTTTCGTGGAAAAGTAAGCAGTTATGGTTCCGCATAAATATGTCATGGCAATGGTGAACAAAAAAAGTACCACGAAATTGGTAGGAAAAGTCTTCCTAATGTTTTGGTAACAGGTTAGGGCGATGAATAAAATCATTTGGAGCGCGACCATTATCCAGAACATCGGTATGTTGGTCCTCACGAAATTTTTTGTCGGTCTGTGATGTGTGACGAGAAAAGTAAACGCGGTAGATATAGCTAATTGAAGTGCTAGAATCGCGTATACTTTTTTTATAAAATTGTTCCGGATTTTTTGATTAACAAATTGATTCATGTAATAGTATTCCAGCGGAGTGGGTTGGTACCCAGACCCCTGATTTGCGTCCATTATGTATTGGCCAGATGGCACTGTTTGCGGCCTGTAGACCGGACTATAGGCTGGCGGTGGTCTGCTGTCATAGGGAGGCGGGGCTTCACTATTTGCAAGGTTAAGCTGAAAATTGATATATTATAATACATCACTATCATATCAATGCGGTTTGAGTCAACTAGTGATACCAACCCTTTGAATCCTTTCACCGCGATTAAAAAACACCGCTTCTCTGGTATTGGTGGTTTTTTCTTTAACACAAGCGTCTACAGTCGTAAAGCTTTCATCTGGTTCCACATCTTTAAATATCGGGAGTAAAATTTGTGAGCTCGACGAGTTCAACTTTTTGTCTTCCGATGGGTGTTCGCTTAGTATATTTATGCGGATTTCGGTCTTGAACGCGTAGTTCTTTGACGTTGTCGGTTCTTGAAACGCAATTACATCGTGTTTGCTGGCGAGAGCCATGACGTTATTTCGGCTATCGTTTGGCTGGGGATGGTTAGAGCTGGTATTCGTGTGTTCAGACATCTTTGCGGGGATTTAAACAAGTTTCGTGGGCGGTTAACATTACGAAAACAAATCGCGTTTGGTTGACTTTTAAATGAGGCAATTGTCAGTTGTATGTGTCATATTTGTTTTCTGGAATTGCTTGGACCACGATAGTTAGTCGATGTTTCGTTGGTTCTAGGTTACATAAAATAAATTCAGTCCTGAGTTAACACACTTTTATCAACATTATTAGGAGTTTTCACTGTCTGAAAAATTATTACTTAATGTAATCTTAAAAATAATGACTTTTAAAATTTATTTACTACGGACATTTTTTGCATGGTTTTACAAAATGTATAAATCGAGCAAAGAATAGAAACGTGACGAATTCGGGCATAATTGCAGATTATTACTCAAGTTTTTTGAAATATTAAAAGTTTATAAAATGACAGAATTAGTAATAATTGAAAAAAGAAGTTTTTGGTTAGTTAATTACCTACCGACCTAGCGTACGGGAAGCGTCACTTTACCACGTCAGTTTTATTTCCCACGGATCCGAGTCACGTCGGACATTTCCGGGATTTTACCTCTCGGGTTTGGGAGCAATCGGATGTTTTCGGAGATATTTCCCACGCTTTGAATTTTGACGTTTGTCAATTCTGACGGTCATGTCAGTGAATGTATTCCTGTTGTTTCGTGAAAATGTTCTCAAAAACTAACGGTCGTAGAAAAAGTATAGTATGCAACACGTTCGATAAACTTCTTAAGTCAAGTAAGTTGCATAATATACTATTTTTTATAGATATGGTATACAGTATATGGTGTCATATAATGGGGCACAGTTTTGTGGTAAAAAAATTTGTCAGTTGACAAAAACAAATCCCCTCTTTAAGCGAGTCTTATAGATATACCAAATTCGTTGTAGACTGCATTGTTCTAAATAGGCAAACCTTATTACTAGCTAGAAGTACCAATTGTTTAAAAGAACCTAAAACTCAGAACATTTACCAGATAATATACTGGCCGTAAGGACGGTAAAAATGAATGCGATTTTGTCAACACTTTTTTATGGTGGCCTCCAATATTTCTGTATTGTCGGTATCGGCGTCGCTCTATACACAATAGATGAAGTTCTTAAAAATGTGCTTTAGTAAAATGTCGCTCATTGGAGAGATACAGGGTGTTAAAGTTAAAGGTTTTGATTAGAGCGATGAGTTTTCAGTATAAAGGGTATATACTATATTTATTTCGATAAAACACACGAGGTATCAGCCACTAAAAAATGGTCCAAGTTTCAAAATTGATTTCCTCACGAGCCGTTCGCTTAACTTTCATGACATTTTTATTGCTTGTTTAGCAAGAATGTCATATATCGCAAATCGTAAGAATTTGATTCTGGCATATACAGGGTGCAACAATGAGTCACCCTGTATTTCAGTGAGCAATATTTTACTGATGCATATTTTCGTTATTTGAATATTCATTATGCCTAGGCACATTAACCAGTTGAAGTAATTTTTTATTCCATTATTAAATAACGTTAAAATATTTTTTATTTAAATTAATGAATATCAACGCTTATGTTCATTTCTAATCCATAGCCTAGTCGGTGTTTTATTGAAATAAATGTAGTGTTAGAAATCATCACTCGCAATCATAATACCAATCTCACAAAACCCCCGGATCCAAATTTTCATGCTATCAAAATTAAACACTTAAAAGTAATAGTTTACTTAATCAGAATCTTAAGCTATCAGGGTGTACAGAAATACAAATATCTTGGTATTTTTATTTTCATATTATAAGACACTAAAGCGCCAATTACAGGCCTATGTAATCGAAAATTAATTCTGCTATATGTTGAAAATAAATTATCTAGGGATCTAGTCTCATATTAATGAATTTCATACCGGAAAGTAAGACCATAGTTAGATTTTTGCGGATCTTTTACAAATTTTTTAAAATTAATTTACATTGCACTAATTCGTTTCAAAACTTAAATTTTTCATATAACCATTCAGTATTATTATGTCAAAATTAAACAGTATTTTCAGTATTTGACTTGCAATTCATTAATATGGTTAATTGGTTTGATTTTTTCAGTTATTCTCTGAACGTTAGAATTCCATCTATAAGATATTTTATAAACAATACTTTTGTAAATTATTATTTATATATTTTTATTTTTCCGTCGAAATACTGTATATTTTTTGCTTCTATTAAGTTCAAATTTATTATAAAACAACCAGCCTGGGAAACGTTACAGGTAATTTCCTACTATATTCTCTAACGTGCTTTTATTTTTGGTTATGCCCTCTGTATCTCATTAATGAGCGTCATTTTAAGAAGGCATGTTTGGCTTAAATCATTACCAAATAGCACACTTTAAACCATTGGACATCCAACGAACCGCCCATTGTGGACAAATAAGCTGTCCAATGGATGCCGGGAATGCGCACTTCTACTGGTTTGTAGATGTCCACTGAATTTACAAATGTCACACTTCTGCATGTCATTCTGGAATTCAGACTTGTAAAACTTTGGAGTCCAACTATGGATTACTTATGGAATCCAAGTATGGATTTCTCTTACAACACACATTCACAATTCTTTTGAAATCCAAAAACACTGGCTTGAATAAAATGGTATCATGAGAATGAAGGTTTAACTTTAATTTTTTGTTGGTAACGATTCTTCTTCTGTCACGCTACATAATACCTGTTTTCAAAAATAATTATAAATAATATATAGAGTCATCGATTCCAATCCACCATAACGTTACAGATTGTGATTATATCGGTCTGACATTCAATTGCAAATTAGAAATAATCCTAGAATTGTTGAAATTATGCTTAGCAGTTGCCTATGATATTTTTGTTGAGATACTAATCTGTACTTAGCGCCATTTATTTCCAAACAACGATATCCACCCTCCTAACTCCTGCTTGTCTGAAGATTAAATGGGATTTGGACATATTTTAGAAAATGCTGTTGTCAAAACACCTCATCCTAACTTGTTGACGCTCTGTCAGCGACCATTTTGGTTGTTGCCAAGGTCTTTGTTGCTTCATAAATATATAAGTATTAGAAACATATACAGGGCCTCTATTTTTCTAGTTGCTATACAGTTTACTTCACTTGACATTAGACTGTCATTTCTACCCTTTATATCTCTCGGTAATTGTTCACCATTCGGTTTTTTATTATTTTATATTATTTAACTGAAGAAGTTTTATTAACGAAAAGAAGGCGCAGGTATATTTTAGCCTCTAAAAATACTACTGACATACAACAGACTACAAAAGTGCGTTATAGATCGTTGTGACACACAGAAGCAAAGAATAGTAATTATATCATAGAACAGAGCAAAGGTTACAAACACTTTAACAGGTTTTTCTTAATTGGCAGTGCGTTAAATGACAATATTAACGTTGTCTTGATTTATTTCGTGTTTTATTTTTGACGTTGTTGTCTTTGCAGATCTGTAGCCGTTGGAAAATGCTTAGACACTCTCGGTCATGGCCCGCCATCGCTGATGGCCATACAGCATTGCCACGGATTCGGCAACAATCAGCTGATCCGTCTCAACGCCAAAGGGCAATTGGGTGTCGGCGAGAGGTGCATCGAAGCGGACGCCCAAGGGATCAAACTGGCGTTTTGTAGGTTGGGAACAGTAGACGGGCCGTGGCTCTACGATGAAAATACCCACACATTGATGCATAGGGTCCACAAAAAATGCATGGCATTGCACCCCCAGACGTCCCACCTGTCGTTGATGCCTTGCGATATCAATAACGCGTATCAGCAATGGTTGTTCAAAGAGTTGAAACCGAAATGGTAAATTTTGGAAGCAACAAGTTTTATGTCGGTATACAAGACACACTGCCACTTTGATTTTTGATTTTTGTTTATTTGATTTGTTTAGGAGGATCGAGACGCCAAATTTTTTTTAAATTTGAATTTGTTTTTTTTTTAATTTTCATGTACTTACTGTTTTATTTTTCTGTAATTTTTTGTTTCCTGTGTTTGTGTGTGAAGTCATCATTCTTCCCTGGCAGCTTTGATGTTGGCCGGGCTTAGGCAGCTTTGTAGTCTTAATTAACTCTTAATTAATTTAATTCATAAATGTAATTTTCAATTGGTAACAATTAAAAAAATGAGTAAAGGGGTTTAGAATTTTAAATACATTTAAGATTTAGTTGGCCAATCCCGGCCATATTTTTAATTCGTGTTAAAAAAAAAGACTTGAAAACGAGTTTTTTTTGCGATTATTATTTCCCGGAGCTGTTAATCCAAGACAATCACTTTAGTATTAATTTTTTGCAAGTGCATTTATTTGAATATTAATTTTATCTTCCAAATCAGCCCTTAAGCAATATATAAAATCATTTACTAGAACATGTTACAACTTAAATTTGTAAATATACATTCCTGATATTTTTACTGTGTTTTAATCATATGGTTATAAAGTTTTTTGTCTTAGAAATTTTTTGACAGGATAATAAGGGGTTGGGTAACACTTGATTTAAATAATTTTTATTTATTGAAGTTATAAAAAACAGTAAAGTATTATACTGAGATTAAACGTTTCTTTCTAATAGCATATTCACACAATTTCCTTACTTCTGAGAAGATCCATACAGATGACGTCACAGATATTAAAAGGCCCATATCTAAAAAAAGGTTGAAAAATTGTTATTTATCAAATATATCAAATTGTTTTTCCGCTTACTTGTCTCAAAATTGTGGTTTCTGATTTTCCAATTGCAGTTTAACTATGGCATTTATTTATATTATATAATGTATATAACTGAATCGCGGGCGGAGTAATTTGCAATAATTGGCAAAATATTTGTTTAAAAGATGTTGATTATGATTTTGGGATGTGTCAAAGTAAATTTTTTCCCAAAGTTGACGTGTTTTCTAAGTAAAAAGTAATAATTTTATGATTTCAAATAAAATTTGCTAGAGAATTAAAAAACCTTTTAAGTTACGCACGCCAGTGATTACTAGAGATGATAGCAATCTGACCTACTAATGACGTCATATCGGTAATTTTTACCACAGATCAACCGTAGAATATTAGGTACATTTTGGACGTTTTTGTTGAATCGAATTTGCTGTCGTCTCGCCAATCATCCTGCTAGCTTCTTCAGAGCTTAACTGAAACTTTGCCACACACTTACCACTGTTGTCCTTCTTAAGAAATATAACATTAGAACCAGATTTACCACTTGCCCAAAAATCTATTAACATCTTCGATCCGCAAAAGACAAAGTTTGAGAATCTATAGAAATCTATAAGCAACGAAAAACTCTTAACCGCTACTCAGGTCATCAATATTGGAATCAGTCTTCTGAGACAATGTTCATGCCCCTCCTTTAGCTCCAGCCCCGTCAAACAATATATAAGCAGGTACAGAGTAGAATGCAAGCCAGTTTTAGTTAAGTTCTGAAGAATCTAGCAGTTTGATTTATAAACAACCGACGTAGGAGGAATCCAGAAGTTTGTAAATAGTATTACAGTTGTCTGTGGAAGTTTCTTTCAAAAATTGCCGGGTCAACCTGAAGTTGCTGTCAACTTGCTTATTTCACGTGGAACACCGTGAAATTCTAAACATATTTTATGTATATTTATAATTTCATAACTTTGTCTCAGTGTTTTTGAAACATTTGACATTGAAAAATATTGCAGCTTCGGATTAACCAAATTCACACAAGCATATTTTTGTAATTGAAAATTTGATGTTCATATTTTACAAATTGTTAAAACAGAGGCTTTACTTTACTTACTTTGTTATTGTTGTTTTCTAATTTTATACATGTCTCAAAAAATTTCTATCAAACTGAATTCCGTTACCTATTCCAAAATAACAAAATGTGACATTTTCCTGTCACATACTACTACTACAACTACAAAAATATGCATATTCAAAGTTAGTTAAACTGAAATTACAATTTTTTTTCAAGGTCAAATATTTTAAAAATGATTAGACATAGGTATAGGACATCGGCTCAAACCGGAATTGATATGACGTTGAAAATATTTTAAAGAAGAAGTACATTTCGCACTTACCTCAACTTCATAAATTCACCTTAACCTCATAAATTCAAATTCATTAAACTTTTAGTGACATGTTGGTTGAGACTTTCTTAGATCGCGGATGGTTCTACTAAAATGCACTTTGCGCCATATTGTTTCGAAATACTTAACCCATTTTCGCCAGAACATTTAATGATATCTAGGCATATTTGAAAAAAATGTTGCCTTAAAAATGTTGGGTGTTGAATGCCTCAAAGTCATTGGTTAAAAACGAGCTTTTAAATCTCGAGCATGCGCTTGTTGAATGGACCTCAATTTTCTTTAATAGCTATATGGGGTCATTTAAGAGGATATTACGAATAATGGTATGTTAATACAGATATGAGAACATTTTCATGGGTCATTACTGAAAGTTTTGAAAATAGGGTTATGGTGGGTTCACGTAAGCTTCCATTAACATCAAACTCAAATGGTTCTTTAGTGAATCCACATGGATCTCCACTAAACCAATAACATTAACATTAAAAAAGTAAGTCACTATAAAGAAGAATAACTTATTTTTTTATAAATGGCTACCGAGAACCGTTGTTTTGATAATATTAATGTTAACGTTCAATTAGTGTTAAATTAATGCTAATGGATGTCATCTGTATCCATTTCTCTTTTTGTATTTTTTTTCGTTCTTAAGTTTAGCGTCCTTATTAATGGTTGCTGGGTGTATCGAAATTATTAATTTTTTAAAAAAATTCTTGTTATTTAATTTAGGAATGGCTATGGTTCCGGGATTTAATTTAAATATTGTTATACTTTGTCTTTTTGTTTTCCATCTTTTACTTCTAGGAGATTTCCTTTTTTTTCAATAATTTTTACTCGTCTACCTCACATAGCGATCGGTCAACAACAGTCCTAGAATTAAGTCAAGGCGCAGTCAAGGGATAATCCGAGAACTACTCAAGTATAGCCCAAACTTAAAAACCCGAAGAAGCTTATGACTTACCCCAAACTGTCAGTGCTTCTGTTTGAAAGACTCTCTGAAGCGGTGGAACGTAGACAACCAAAAACTGTCCCATCAAGGACAGCCCCACCGCTATGAGGAAAAACGTGTTGGAAAATAATCCAATTTGAAAAACGCTCTTGGTTTGCGATCTGCACGACAGCGCGTTCCACATGTCAAAAAATACGAAACACGTGAACGTCATTGTGGTGTCTCTTGTGGTAACACCTTCGGAACGCATCTAAGACAAAGGGTCGTTTCAAGTATCTCCGTTATATGTACAGGATGTCCCGCTCATCCTGGAACACTAGCTTATGAAAATGCAACAAAACGTTTAACACCAAAGTTTGAAAATACACAGTATAATCTAATAAGCGAATGTGACTCCCATTCTGATGCCGAATCAATATTTTATCGGATAGTAGACAAATAGATTTATTTGGCAGACATTGGCCCACACTTGACCTACGTAGTTAAGAACATACCATTTAAACTCTGCAATATACGAAAACAATTTATAATGAAAAAAGTTGCATTATTTGTGGGTCACAAATTGCAAAAATTCAGTCAGACCGACTCTTCTTTTGGATACCTCCAGGGACGGCACTCGACTTCACAATTTTAATCTTTTTCTGTCAGCTGTGGCCTATTTATCCTAGCAAAATCTCTCCTGATGAGGATCTCCATTATTACAACAACTTCCTCCGCGGTTTTCTTCTGGATTATACGATAGAAGAGCAAAAAATAGAAGAAGACTTAATAAGAGAAGATAAAGCATAGACAAATAATGGAATATCTTGAAAAACAATGTTCTAAATGCAGCGGAGGAAGCTGCAGGAAAACGAAGATTGGACGTAAACGACATCAATAAAAGATTATGCTTTACAACGGAGACAAAGATATTTCGCGATAAAAAAAGAAAGCATTAATAAAATTCTTCCGGAATAATAATTATGCACGCTGGGTTTTTTAAATAGTAAAACGACTTTAAATAAACACACAAATACGAGAACCAAAAGAAGGACATTGGGAAGGATTCACGAAAGGTATGGAAAAAGATATACAGGGTGTTCGGAAATTGTGTTCGGGCGCAGTGGGCTTAAACTGCGTTGAAAATAAAAATTAAAAAGATGAATTTTGACAAACTATAACTAGCAAAATATTACCATTTCGAATTTTTGTTACATGACTTACATTATTTTACCAGGTTGAATCTTTCCTCCAAGTTTCCGAACTCAATTTCCGAACACCCTGTCTCAATGGAATAAGCTATTATTTTACACACAGTTCTGATTTAGTAAAAGTCATTGTTACAAAATAAAGGTGGTAATCTGTCACTAGACGGTAGTTTACCTAGAACATTTTTTAAAATTTTTCTCTGTATTTTATTTATTTAGACTCACTGCAAAATAGAACTGATTGCCTTAAGCAGAATCACAGATTCTCAAAATTTTTTTCTTTTAGCAGCAAGGTTTCTCGTACTCGTTGACGGGTCAGCTTCGACATTTTGAAATATTCATTCTTCTTTTGCAGCGGTTCTTTTACACCGTGGTCTCCTTTTATTCATATTATCCAAAATGCATATTGCGATATTCAGTATTTGAATATTCCGGATGGGCCATCACAGTAGTAGTTGGATAATAAGCGCTTAAAAAAAACTAATTTTTAACGGATTGTGACAGTGACTGTTTCAAATTTCATTAAGTCCTGTTAGGTAAAATCACAATTACAGGTAAAATTCGAACCGAGAATAAAAAATCAAATTGTGGGTAAACGATAATACTTATCGACTTAAAACAAAAGTCAAAATTTTTGAGGATTTTTGATTCTGCTTGAGGAAATCTATTATATTCTGCAATATCTGTCTAAATAAATAAAATATAGGGAAAAAAATATTCCAGGTAAAGTGCCCTCTGCTAAAAATAAAATTTAAAAAAATAAATTTTGATAAGCTATAACTCGGAAAAAAATACGATTCCGAATTTTTGTTACATGACTTGTTTTTATTTTATCACTTTAAATCGTTCCTCCAAGTTTCCGAACTCAATTTCCGAACACCCTGTATTCGTCTCAGAGAGGATAACATGGGGAATGTTAAGGAACAACAAGAAATAAAAGATATCACACAATCCAACCAAATTAGGAAAGAAGAGTGGGAAAGATATTTTGAAAACCTATATACAGACAGAGCGTTGCCGACAGTCGCATATCTGTCCCAGAGTCGGATCCACCTATCAGATCCCTCCCAGATCGCAGATTTTAAATACATATAAACAAACGTTAAATGGATTACTCAAACAAAAAACTACACCATTTTAATTTGTTTGTAAAATAGGTAATAAAAGCTGAAAAGTATCGGTGTTTAAGGACAGGTATATTGGAATAGTTTAATGAATGACTGAAATGGCAAGTCGGTCAAAATGGCTTATAGTACCCCCAAATATTTTTCTTTTATTTTATGTTTAATTTCTAACCATTAACATGTAATTCAAGAAATTAAAATAAGGGCAAGTGGTCCAAAGGGGATGCGAAAATAGTAATTAATATCAAAGTTGAGTTTAAGTGCAGCTGTGAGTGGCGCTTCAAAACTAGGTGGTGTTAGTGAAAAAATAATTTTTAACATCAAGAAACAAGCGGAACAGAACAATGTCGAATTAAAAAATCCTACTACATAAGATGAAAGTTTTAAGAGTTTAATCAGACAAATTGTTCATTACGATTTTTTTTTAAAGTATTTCGCCAATTTTAATTGCAATTTATAAAATTATTCGAGGGGATTATGATTTGCCAAGTTTTTCTTTAAGTGCCTTGGGTAGATGAATGAAAGATATACATGTTACTGACCAAATATGAGCAATTATGTTCTGAGAGCCACATTGACATTTCTGATCTTAGTTAGTTAGCTAACGGCAACAAGGCATAATATAGGCATTGATAATATGTGCACATTTTTGTAAAAATTTGAAAATATTTCTAGTCCGTTGAACATAACGTTGTAGAATCAAATATTTGTGAAAATTCGTTTCTGTTGCATTGCATATATTTTGCGAGAAGGTAGTGTTGCCAGAGGAACGTTTCACACCAGTCAAACGGAGTGATCATTTACTTCTCTCTGAAATACCCACAAAGTGCCGCACACAATAAAAGTGGCGGATATGAGTACGTTGCAGACCAGCCTTTTGTTAATCATAGACTCTTTCGTGTTACGTGGTTTCTGCCTAACTACGTCCTCGCTCACAGGTTCTACGCCCAAGCTGTGTGCGGGAGGCCCGTCCATTATAATGTTGATCCATAAAATCTAAAAAAAAACATATTTACACCACTATAAATAACGATCTATCTCAACGGACCTGCATGGCGTTCAGCGGACTTGGAAGATCTAACAGTGTGGACAAAGCTATCAAAGATAAAGCCGCTACTGATGTTGACAATTGGAATCCTACGAAGTTTCGTATATTATAGAAGATCCCTTTGCCTTCTTCGATTGCTGCTCTGTAACATTTTGGCAATTGAAAAAATATATTTAGGGGAGAGAGCTCATCAGTGAAGCAGGACCTACAGTGAGGCATTACGTTTTGTTCGCTTAATGTGGAAGTAATTTCTTTGAAATCTTGCCGTAGGCCACCCAGGTGTTATATAAATTCACTTGGCGCCTCACGTTGAGATTCATGTGAGCATTTTCCATCATACAGTAAAATGATGTCTTATTATTTCATTTTTTATTTTTTTTCGTCAACGAGTTTATACAAAGGTAAGCTTGAGGAATGTAGCTGATATAAGAAACCTCTGCAGGCTACTATAATGCTATTTACTAATCTTCTGGGTTCTTCCTGCGTCCGTTGTTTATAAATCAAATTTGATGACGCGGTAAAGAATACATTGGAGAGACCGGACGGAAAGTATCAACTACGATGAAAGAATGAAAGAGCCTTAAGACTACGACAAATAAACTCATCGGCTGTTGCCGAATACAATCAGAAAACAGGTCATCACATCTTATTCAATAAAACTACAATTCTTGCATGTAATACCAAAAAAAAACTAAGGCAGTGTTGGGCAACTTCTGTTTGATATCTGTGTATTAAGTAATTTTGTTTTTTACAGATCACACAGAAAAGAATAAATGTAAATTGTTCCAAAGAATCTAGGAAGGAAGCTGTATCTCTGATCTTGGAAGGTGGAAGTTTAGGAAAAGTAAAAAATATCCCTGGCTAGATATGCAAAAGTTTATTGTTGTAGCTCAATGAAGTAATAATATAAACGTATTTAAAAAGTGAAGTTTTTACCAGCTCGACAAAAACATATTCGCCGATATTGACTTTCTTCCGAGCAATGAACATGTAAATAGCACCGGAAATTATGAAACTAACATTTCCTAAAAATGATTGCTTCTCTGTCTGTTATTGCTAATAATAATAAATTCGAAGAACAAGAAATCCAAATTTGAGAAAGAGAGGATAAAATGCCTAATTCACTTAAGAGTCCTGAAGAATTTAGAGGTTTTCCAAGAGCAGGAGTTCGTAATATATAATAAAATGAATAAATCATTAAAAAATTACGGAAAACAGTTGAATGTTTCCTTATAATGCACGGTTTGCAAAAAAACGAATCATTTTTATTAGTCCATAAATTATAAAGTAATTGTATGTGTGTTGCCAGAGAGTTCTTCGGCATGTTTTCCACTTTTTATTTAAATCCATTTAATAAAAAAATAAAAACTGATGATAGGAGAATTTTGAAGATTTTGATTAACAAGCCTGTTACTAATATAGTCCTTAAGTCGTTGGATTCCTTGGGTATAGGTGATATCCTGCCATTTTGCCGTAAATTGGTGAAAAGTTCTTGTCGCGTTATAGCTAAAATAGGACACAGGGTCAAGCCAGGCAAAATCAAGTATTCTGAAAAATGGTGGAACAAGGGGACTTAAACTGTAAGTAAAAGGTAAGATGGTGGAGCTACTCATTTGAAAGTGACTTTCCCACACAGGTAGCTGCCGCTTTCTACACTTGGAGGCAATGAGTTCCATTGTCTTATCGTGTTATTCAAAAATAAATATCAACTGAATTAACCGCTACGTAATATTAATTTTTAAAGAAGTAGGTATCAAAAACTTTCTTTATATATTCTTCAAAAGGCTTCAGAAATATACTGAAATTTGGGTGGTGCCCTGTTTATCCACCAAAATATTAATAATTTGGAAACTCATGCCGTCACTTGTAATGCCTTAAGACTACGACATATCAAGATTATTAACATTTCATAATTTGTTAAAGGGAATAAAAAAGGCATAAAACTGAAGAAATCGGAATTAGATTCTCGCAGAATTAGCAAAGAATACAAAATATAAAAAGCAATATTATCCGTATTAGTTAAAAACTAATTTAGCTCTAACTAGGTTGCAGTGGGATTTCTGGATCATATACATTGCCCTCATACCCCAATAGGGCTTCACTAATAAACCAAATTGGAATAAAACATGTAAATATTTAATACATTTCTTAAAGGATGTAGAAAAAAACCTTTTCACTAACATAACTACTAGGGAATCATAAAACACTATACATCTCAAAAAGCGACAAATAGAGGCAAACCATTTTAGGACATGTTATACACAATATCGTAAACTTCAGTTTTATATGAAAATAAAAAGTAAAGTTTGTTCATAGATATAAGAAAGTGACTAACTGATACGAATTAAGGAAACACACCGGCAAGCTGTAAGAATGAAATATGGCCGAACAGGTCCGCACTTTGCTTAGAATTTAATTATTTGGGGTTTTGTTAGGAAAGATACTAAACAATATTTATTTATTTATGTATGTGTTTATGTTTAAATCTAAAATAAAATTACAACTTATTTTATTACCTACTTAAATTACTTAAAATTATTCACATAATATATCAGTATCACTATCGCTATCATCGCCTGTTCAAATTATTATTTGTTCTATATTATTTGCAATATATACGACTGTTCTGCCTTTTCTATATGTTTAACAGAATTTGCCCAACTTTGTGGAGGGATGTTAAAAACTTCGGTTTCTATAAGTTTGAGGACATTGGAGTTAACACGGGGAAAAACTTTGTTACGACGAATGGCAGATTTCAGTTGGTGCCAAACATGTTCAATGGGATTCAATATACTATATATTCATATTCAGTAAGGTGGAAGCCTTAAAACTGTATGCCCTAGATTTTTTGCACAATTATCACAGACGTATTCCTTTTGTAGGTTCAAGCTTTGTAGAACTTCAATGAATTGCTTTTTGGTATAATCTTCGTGAAAATAAATGTCGTTATTGTACATGTAGTTTTGGATTGTTTTAACTACTGTCTACTGTGATAACTTGCATTGTCCATTACATTAACGCTATTAGGAGGAATGTTTGGAACTAGTTTTTTTTAAACCAACTTTCAAATAGTAAATGGTAATCCAGAGAAGAATCTTTACTATTTTTCGCAGACACAGAAAGGCCATTTGTTTTACACTTATCAGTTGAGACAACCCAACCCTTTTCCGGGGTATCATAAGTGTCGAACCAGGTTTCATTCAAGTAAGTTGTTCTCTGAAAATCCTAATTTTTTCTAGATATTCCAGTCGCCATTTCCGAATTCTAAAAGATTCCATTAATTTTTTTAAATCTAAAACCCATGTGTTCAACACACTTCCATAAGGTAGTTCTGCTACATTTAACACCTTTTTCATCTTTTTCAAGCCTCCTAATTAAGATATCTAATGTAGGCGCGCTTTGTTCTTCGTATAACTGGTAAATTTTATGCCGTATTATATTCGTCAACGTGGCCGTTTCTTCTAAAGATACTTGCTTGCTGGCACCACGTTCAATGAGAGTCAAATAAACATTGTTTATAACTTCCTTAGCCTCAATAGAATAGATAGAATAGCACATATTTTGCATGATTCGCACACGATTCAACACACGCTGTATTACACACGAAATAAGAATGATTACAAATAAACTTAAACTAAGTAGTATACCAAACCAAAGAATATTAAATACAGGTAGGTATAAAATTATTTTCTATTACGGACCACAATTTTACATGAATTTAAATTCCGAAACTTAAGGTAATAATCTTGTTGCATTATATGTTAATGACCACCTTTGGATAATCCCATTCAAAATCAATTGGTCACTTCTATCTATGAACAGACTTTACGATGATACGACTGAAAAGGATGCAATATAAGACGGAAATATTTTTATCATGCCGCCGCATATTCTATGCTGTTGCAGAAATCACCCACAAATAATATTTATATATTTTTTAATTGAACGCCCTGTATATTATACGTTTAATAAAATCTAAAAATTCTACATTGTGCCCCTATATCCAAATCCAATAGTTTTTGAGATAAACAAAAAAGCAACATTCAAACATTAATAATATTCTAGAATTTATAATTCATATCTTAGGTTAGGCTGTGAAGTAGATCGTCGCCAAAAGACAAAACGTTTGTTTATAGCTGATAGTGACGGTTACCAGTTACAGATTTAGCAAAATTCGCGTTACTATTATTAGAAAATATGTTATTCTGAAAAAGAAAATTTTGGGAACTATCTGTAATTAACCCTCGAATGCACGTTCCAGACAAAAAAAAACTTTCATCAAATCTATAAAAAAATATCAACAAACATTCAGGCTAGCCAGAAAGAAGAGAAATTTGAAAAGAGATGAAGATAGTGGTTTCAGGACTTTACTAAAAGTTGAAGAAAATCACAATATTTCCATAAGGAAAATATCGGAAAGCCTTGAAAGAAGAGTTTATAATTAACCGTACGGGAATATTTAAACCACTCCTTAAAATTAGGCCTACCACAAACATAAAGCCCAATCATCGAGAAAAAAGGATTGTTTTGCCATACAATGTTGCAAAAAATTAACGAAAATTATGCTAAATTAAAAAATGTTTGTTGGACCGACGAGTTATCGTTTTCAACCAATTATATAATAAATGGAAAAAACAGCAGACAGTGGGCCATAGCAAATCCTCATCGCTACAGAGAATTTCGATTTCAAGCAGGTCAAACTGTAAATGTGTAGTGTGCTATTTTAAAAGACACAAAAATAGGTCCTTATTTGTTCGCACGGAACATCCGACCCTAAAACCGTGACAGGTACAGGACGGAAACAAAATTCCATATATATTTAAAACAGCTAAATTTTAGGCAAAAGTTTTGAGACAATATATTACAATAACTAAACCACACACACACAAGTAAAATACCGCTTTCGATTGCTTTTTAGCGCATTAAGGACCACCCTAGTTGGCAAATTCCACTATTTATGTATTGTTTAATTAATTGTTTAATGATAACTACCATATTTTTGTTTCTTATTAGTTTAATGTGAATGCTTACAGAAAAAAATTATAAAGGATATATGTGGCATTCCGTGTTAATCAAGTGGAATGCAGAGGATTTCGGAAAATTTATCACTCGAAGAAGAAATATGGTGTACACATAAGGATT